GGGTCTTCCCTGGTTCTCTTCCAGGAGGAAGGTCAACCCGCGGAGAGTGCGGTGGTTTCACCGAGGCTACATGAAGGAGTGCGGGATTCCTGGGCCTTCTCCCCTGGTGTGGGTAAACCTCGGTCTCACGTGGGGCGGGTCTCCGCAGCAAACTCACAGCGAAGTTTGTTCATTCTGCTGTTGAGGGGTTCAGGTTGCTTGGGGTCTCGCATCCCTGTGTCCTCCTCTTCTATAGGTCGAAAATGAGCCAGGACCCTGACAAAGCCTGAGAAATCCACTCGCAGACTCCTGGGGCACGGAACAGAGGGAGGCCGCGGTCACCTTAGCCATCCCTCTGCCTCGGTCTCTAACCTTCCCTCCCACTCACCTGCTGGCAGGTTTTTCCGCTTCCGCTGCCCCCCCCCGCACAGCAGGACCTCACCCGTCCGGGAAGAAGCTGTCTATAATGCGGTCTCCCAGGGGGTTCACGGCCAGCGCCCCAATCTGCTGGAGATCCATGCGGCTGCAAAGTCAAGTTCAAAGGGGGTAGGGCAAAGATGGCAGGCCGAGGCGGGGGTCAAACAGGGAAATGGGGTCTGAGGGACAGAGGCAAGACTCCCGCTCACCTCAGGTAGCCCTTCTTGTTCCTGTCCAGTGCCCGGAACCGGTGGTACAGGCGGAGCAGACAGGCCTGCGAGACTGCGGGGGAGGGCGCAAGGGTGACAAGATGCGCGCTCTGGAACCCGCTCCGCACGGCCCGGAGACCCGCGGGGGACAGATGGGGGAGGGAGGTTTGCTGGAGGGAACGTTCGCCCCTGGGACCTGGGGAGGCGGGGCTGGAGCGGGGGTGATGTGCGACCCCGCCAAGCGCCAAGTTCGAGACCGGGAGGCTAGCAAGCGTCCTAGCGCTTCCCTCCCGGAAACGAGGGACCAAGGTCAACCCTCCCCTCGCCGTCAACTCTGCCTTCAGCCTCGATCGGGACTCGAGGGCACCGGGTTCCTGGACTGATCTGGCCCCCAGCCCGGTGAACTCGGACAGTCCTCAAGCCCCCAGGTGAACGCGCCCCTAGCCCTGCGGTACCCGACTCTTGGGTCTTGGTCTCCCAGCTCCAGGATCCCGGACCCCCTCGATCCAGCCCCTGCTCCGGACCCGGCGCGGCGTTGAACCTCTTGCGGTCCCCGGCGCCCGGCACCTGCGGTCGCCCGCGCCCCCCGCCCCCCGGCCGGCGCACTCACAGCCCGTCTCCCGCCGGATGCTGTCCACGTCGGGGATGACCGCGGCGCGGGAGCCGCGCGAGCCCATGGCCACGGCCGCCGGTCCTCTCGTCCCGCCCCGGAGGCGCGGCCGCCCGGGTGTCCCCAGGGTCAAAGGCCTGGAGGGCAGCCAGGCACCAGGGCCCCGCGTTCCTCGCCTCCCACCCGCGACCCGGGCGAACAGAAAACAATGGCCAGGGCGGCGGGTCAGGGGGCGGCGCGAACAGCGCTCGTTTCAGCCCAGAGAGCCTGGGGCGGGCGCGGGGAGAGGCCGGGAGAGACCGCCCCGCCCGGCCCGCCCGGCCCGCGCCTCCCCCGGGGCCGCGATCTCCCGGTCGGCCCCGCCCAGACCGCGCACCGACCAGTCCTCCGGGGCCCGCGCCCCCAGGCGGGTCGAGGCTCAGTGTGGCCCGGAGGAGGCGACCCGACCGCGTCTGTGCACGGAGTCCAGGTCCTGCTGGGAAGGGCGTGGCGGATGGGAAGGGGAGCTGGGCGTTGTCCCAATCCCGCGGCCCGGCCTGGAGGGAAGAGCAGGGAGAGGCACCGACGGGCTCCCTAAGAGGCGAGCGGTGCGGGGGTCGTGAGGGGAAGGGTGGGCCTGGGTTAAGCAGAAAGAGCGCGGGCTTTGGAGGACTCACGTCGGAATCTCAGCTACGCTACGAACTGGGGACAAGTCGGTGTATCTTGCTGTCATCTCTTTTGTTGGGTCCCTGTAGCGTTGTGTGACGTTGAGCCAATGCTTCAAATGTGGGAGATTTAACCAAAAAATCCGCATTCCTGGATTTTCCTGAAAAATCAGAAGTTCTGACGCTAGGAGGCTGAGGCCTGAGGAGCTGTCAGGCTCCACAGTCACACCGGTGCACGCCCAATGTGCCCACGGCCCCTGGTGGAGCCCCAGACTGGGAAGGACTTCCTCCTCTGACCAGCCCTCGGGAACCGTGGAACCTGCAGCCTGAGAGAGGGTAGTAAACATCACTGCGACAGGGCTCGAAATCATAATAATGACAACAAGGACTCTTTTGTTTGTTTTTTTTTTCCTGAGAGAGAGTCTCACTCTGTTGCCCAGGGCTAGAGTGCCGTGGCGTCAGCCGAGCTCACAGCAACCTCAAACTCCTGGGCTCAAGCAATCCTTCTGCCTCAGCCTCCCGAGTAGCTGGGACTACAGGTGTGCGCCACCATGCCCCACTAATTTTTCTATATATTTTTAGTTGGCCAATTAATTTCTTTATATTTCAGTAGAGACGGGGTCTCACGCTGCTCAGCTGGTCTGGAACTCCTGACCTTGAGTGATCCTCCAGCCTGGGCCTCCAGAGTGCTAGATTACAGGCGTGAGCCACCCCCGCCAGGCCAGGCTCTTGTTTATGGCACTTCGCTAAGCACTTGTTAGTTCACAGTCTAGCCCCTGCTAGGCTGCCTTCCTCTCCATTTGATGTGGTGGAGGCTGCCAAGGGGGCTACTTGTGATGGGGCCCATATGGTCCCCAAGGGGGCAAAAAGAAGCTTGTTTTTCTTAATGTATAAAGCACAGGCATACATACACTACGTAAATAGTATGTAAATACATTGTAGCTGTAGTATTAAAATTTCATGGGAAAAGAATTATGGGGGGGGGAATATCTCAAAATACTCCTGGGGGTGATAATGAAAAAGAGGCTGGGAAACTCAGTCGTAAAGGAACAAGCACTGCAGGTGTCCAGTTTTGAAACTATCTCTACCCC